CTAATTTAGCATTTAAATTTAAATCCAAACACCAAAAAACAAAAATGCTGCTTAGAAAAGGCATAAGAAAGAAAGAAAAGATTATTTGTGTTAAAGAAGGGAAAGTTACATTATTTAAGGAGACAGCAAGAAAAAAATATGAAGTTACTAAAAAAAGTTATTTTTTTTAATTCCTAAAACAATAGCTGAAGGTAACAAATGACAAAAAAAATCTTTTTAGTGCCTGTCAAAATAGTCCTCAGCTAAATGAGAACCAAGACCTGTCATATAAAGGTACAAGATCACAATGATGAATGTAACTGTACTGTACACCTACAAGGTACCAATAAACTCAATGAGGGGAAAAAACAAAACAAAACAAATAAACAACAAAATAGTCCTGAGCTGCCAAAGTGAAAGATGAGGAAAGAATTCTAAGAACCACTAGAGTAACTAGAAGTAACTTTCGGGGGGAAAAAAGTATTCTAAGGAGGTCTTAGATTAAAAAGATAAATCACACAGTCTACACAGCTGCTCAGACACATGCTTGCTACTCTCACTTTAAACTGCTTCACAAGCAGGTTCTTCACTACTTACTTCAGAAGGGTGATGATTTAGAAGGAGCTAAAAATAAAAGCACACAAGGAAAGAACACTGATGCCAACTGATTCTTACAACTCTTCAAATACCTTATTTCATGTTAAAAACAACAACCAAAAAAAATCAATGCCATGAAATAAATTTCACTCCTATTTCAAGATAGGTAAAAATGATGGTCTGGAAAGAAGAAAGTGTATGGCTCTGAACTTCAACATTCATCAAACATGTTGAAATGAGTGACAAAGATCTATTCTTTCCAGAAATCCCCACTTTATTTTTAAGCCTGGAAACTGGTTAGTCATATCTATACTGAACACTTCCTGTACGAGGGCAGCCAACGGCAACAAAGCGCCAAGCTTAGTAGCTGCCTACATTTTGTCAATTGAATCATTCATGGAGTTTTAAAAAAAATACCCCAGCATCAAACACTTTTTTAAAAAAATCTGGCTAGCTAAAGTCCTAAAAGATATACAACAAGAATAGGTCTGCCTGTTTTACAAATGAGGGATAGATGGTTCCATTCAGAGAAAAATCAACACAAAATACTATTATTTCCTTTTTTCTTTTCTTTTTTTAATTTTGGACAGGGGATCAAACTCAGGACTTTGAATTTGCCAGGCACATACAATGACACAATACTACTCTAAAAGGACACTGCTGGCAGGTTCTGTTATATTCTAGCACCTCTACCACATAGAATTATTTTTCTCTTAACTTCTACAATTAGTCCTCAAAAATATAAAAATTCCATTTGACCCAGCTATTCCTCTAGTAAGTATTGTACCCAAACAGTGAAAGATGTCATATTACAGTGATACATCACATTCATGTTTATAGCAGCACAATTCATAACAACTGAATCTTGGAAGCAGCCTATATATCCATCAACAGATACATGGACAAAGAAAATGTAGTACTTATATGCAATGGAGTACTATTCTGCCATAAAGGGTAGATTTGAGTCATTTGTAGGAAAAGGGATGCACCTGAAACCACAATGTTTGGCAAAATAAATCAGACACATGAATTTACATACCATTTTCCACGCGTAAATCTTTTTAAATATGGGAAGAGGACCAAGAGATAAAAAAGAAGGGCAAGGGGGGTAAGGTGTAAAAATAATTCAGATGTGTCATATATGTATACCAAATACTCACAATGAAAGTAGTCATATGTATTGTAAACCTGTACTAACAAAAAAGAAACAAAGAAGTCTAGATATAATGCATCTTAATTTAGAAAAAAATGCCTATTACTGTAGAATATTCAATGAACTAAGCAATAACATTGAAAAATCAATTCATTCCTTCCTTTTTAATTCAGTGCAATTATGTTTTAAAGTGATCCTAAGAATTTTAAGGAAAGAGGAAGGAAAGGAACTAAAACAGATCAAGAAAATACATTGTATCAACTGGCCTGTTGATCATAACATTACATGAAGAACTCCTCCTTGGGAAAGCTAGGGAAACAATTAAGGATTGAAAAAGTGATCCTTTTCCCAGCAATGCTGAGGGCTGTGTCAGGCTTCAGCCATACTGCCTCCCTAGACTGCAGCTAAGCCTAAATTATAACTCACCTGATTAAGTCTTACGTGTTGAAACAAGCCTGCTGAAATTCCCCTGCGAAGCACAGGATACCTCCCTACCCCCATACCTTACAAAGGCACAGCATTCCAAAGCTCCCAAGATCTGGCAAGGACTGGAATGCCAAGTAACCGGTCCTGAACTTCCACGGTTATCAGCCTGATCATCACGTCAGAGCTATGGCTGAGTGATCAAATCATCTAAACAAGTTCTACACATAAAAACCCTCAGTCTGAAATTCTTCAGGGAACCTGCTTACCATCCGGTTTGTTAATGCAAGAAAGGTTGTTTCAGAGGGTAGGGGATTAGCTTCTCCAGTCCTCAGAAGCCACATGTTGATCTTACAAGAAATGCACAGTGCAACAGGCAGTGTGGAAATGATTCTCATAAGCTGGCAATATTGCTTTTATAATTTATTACCTGCAATTTGCTGGCTTTTGTAGAAAATCACTTTTATAACCCAGTATGAAAGTTAGTAGACATCCCAGCCAACACAACACAGCCCTGGCTTCTGACTGGCCCAAGTGAACATTCCTCAGTGCCAGAGCCTTGTTTATGGACCCCTGCCTTAATCCCACCTGGGAAGAGGTACAGAGCTTCTGTGTCCTGCAAATGCCACCACTTCATTGGCTTTGAGTCAGCACAGTACTTGGGAGACCAGCACCACATCCCACCACAGTAAAATCAGACTGAGCAAGAAAACTGCTGAACTTCCTTGGTCACCAAGGTCTCTTGCCTCTGTTACTGCTGCTCAACGTTTTACTACAGAGCTGCTTTCTTACCTCCCTCTTTCCCACCACACTGCAAGGGGCCCCAACCTGCCCAGACCCACTCCCAGCATTTTCCCTTGCCCTTTCTCCCTCAGGGTTCCCCTGCAGTTGTGAAATCTGCCATGGTCACTCCCTTGACTTCCTCTGCTATTGTGCCTCCCAGCCTCTCTTTCCCCTCTTCAGTAGATGCTACCTGCCCCCCAATGCAACAGCCTTGAAAACTCCTGTGAGGCTCCGTTTAATTACTACCTGTCTGTGAAGAATCTGAATCCAGTGTTTAGATTTGTGATACTGAGAAAGGGTATATTTTCATTCTACCTGTTTCATAACCAATACATTCTAATTTTAACCCTTGAAAAGTGAATACTTTTGTAAGTGCTTTACAATACCTTCACAGAAGAAAAAGTTTCCTGAACAAAGTCATCAGGTGGGCACTGGGGCAGCCTGGGCAGGGCTGGGTGCCACTGGAGGCCTCTCCTGAGTGATGCTGTCTGTGCATTGAGCTCTACACAAACCTCACATTGGTTCTCACAACAATGTAGCATATTTCTGCTGGTGTAATAAACATTTTCTACCTTAGTTACAGGAAAAATTAAAAATTTCTCAGAATGGCTCAATGCATTACTATACTAAACCCTACTTGGTATGTGTAAAGCTAAAGTCCTGAGAGTCCCTGATTATATCAAGAATAGGGTGCCCCTGGCAGAAGTATCAATGGTTTTTCCAAGAAATGCGGGGCGGGGGGGGAGTGAAAGTGAAATAGCAGGAGAGAAACCTAATTCTCAGAGTGGCCAAAGCTTTATTCCAGTATGAAGAACCATGCAACACTATGATAAAATAATTTTGAAATATGACACCAGGCAGTGTTGGTTATCAAGAATTGAAGAACTGGTTGGTGTGGGGAAAACTTTCCTGTTCCTGGTGTTATAAGTACTTGTGAGTTTGTTAGAAACATTTTTTAATAAGCAGATTTCACTTCTTACCAAGATTCATTTGCTGTCTGTCCTCTTGCACCAGTGCTTATATTGTGTGGGGCACAATAGAGGGGAGAGCCCTCTAAACCTGCTCTTCTAAACACTACAGAGAGAAGATGGAGGAAGAACAGGAATCTCTTGGCAATTAGGGTCTGGTAAGGGTGCACAGATGTAAATGCTGGGCCAGCTCCCTGGGAAATTCAGCCTTTCCTCATAGCAGGAGCATCACCTGCCAAGACCACGAGTCTTGTCTCATTCCTTCATTAGTCCATTCAGTATCAACTGCATAACTATGGAGTACTTCCATCTAGCAAATGAGTTCCTCAGGCTCCACTTGTGCCAGATCTTAACAGAGGCCCCCAAGGAAAGCACAGCAGATTCTGTAGCATTTCTCTTTACTGACCACTGTCTCTCCGAGGTATCCCTCTGGCTTCTAAAGGCTGATTCTTTTTCCTCCTACTCATGAGCTGCTCCAATTACTATTATCATTATTATTAGTAGTAGTAATAGTAGTACTGGGGAATCAAACTTAGGACCTTGCACTTGCGAGGCAGGCACAGCACCACTGAGCTACATCCCTGACCCAATTCTGATCCTTTTATTGGTCTCATCTACCTCTTTTCCCTATAAAAATGGTTGTCCTTCGAAGCTAACCCATGGCCCAGCTCTTTCCATCTCTACAAGCTTTCCCTCAGAATGACAAAAAGGGAGCAGTTACTCTTTCCTGACAAGACAGCCACACACCTTCCTGCACACACTCCTTACACTCAGGTCAGGTCCTGTCTCCTGACGAAGTTAGAGCTCTTGCCAGCTTGGTATTCCTAAAATACTACTTTGCATCCACAGTAGTCACACCCACCTCAAATACCCTCCAATTCTTTAAAATAACTATTTCCCTCCTAAGAGGTATTTTGGGTATGTTTAACTCTTCTGACATGGAAATTGAAGTTCAGAGAGGTTAAGAAGCTGTCATAGGTTGCACACACATTCAGGGGCTAGGTCCAGAGTGAAGCCAGTCTTCTGACTCCTATTCTTTGTTTGTCACTGTCTTTGTCTAGTGTCCCTCCAGGACCACTAGAAGCACAGCTTCTCACCTGGCCTCATGTACACAGCACTGCCTGCCTGCCCAACATGCACCTCCACTTATACTCTGGTAAACTTCCATCTCGATCAGGGTACAGCAGGGGGAGATTCTCTGTCACATGCTATCCTCTCCTCTCCACTTGCTTAAAGGACTCAGCTGAAACACAAACTACCTCTGTGAAGTCACTACTGCCCACTGTGACTTTCAGTACATACTCATTCTTCTGGATTCTAAACTCCCTACCATGTATTTTTGCCCTATGAATGCACATGTGCTGCATGTGATGTCACAAAACAAAAGTCCATTGAGGGCAGGGCCACCCACAAACACTACTCTGTCTCCACAGCTTCTGTGGAAGAGGTATTGGCTCAAGGAAGGCAGCACTGGGCAAGGGAGGAGTCTCTTGCCCTGCCAAAGGGCAGACTGAACAGCCTGTGCATCTAGGGACACCTCTCATCCTTGGCTCCCCAACCTCGCTGAGGCCATCTGAAACACACACTTGGACAGGCAAACTGGCATCTAGCAAACGGCATGTCAATGGGAAGCAAAATGCCATGCATCACTTATTCCCTTCCGACAGCAAATCATGAGTATTAAGGGCAGTGCTCCTCCCAATTTACTCCCCACTCAGCAGGTAGACACAAGGCCATGAAGCTCTACCAACTTTTCAAGGTTACTAAGTGCTTAGAATAAGACACAAGCAATCCCTGTTAGGTGTTTTGGTCAGTAGAGAGGACAGTGGGCTGCAGTCCCACAGCCCCTCCTGTAGAAGACGTTCTGATCCCCGAATGAACTGGGTTGCAGTGTACTACAGGGAAGGGGAGGCTCCAGGAGCTTGCAAGGTCAAGCTTTGTGTCAGAATGCCACACACTCACACTTCTCCCCAATGAAGAAAGCCCTATCCAGCCAGCACTCTGAGTAACTAATTGTTCTTAAGTGATACTCTAAAAGGAATGAAAACATGTGAGCTTTTACCTGCTTCTCACTTGGTCTGCAACTTTCAAAACCAGGGATCTAACAGAACCTACTATGTATAGAACTAGACTTCACTTCACACCTTCTCATCGTTCATTTTCCTGAGTTATGTGTAGAAAGTGAAATAAGAAATATCCATTTAGTCAAACATTCCATTTAGGTTTTGTAAATTTCCCCAAAAGGTAGAGAGCGACATTTATACAAACAGATTACTCAGTTCTGTTCTGCTTCAAAGGGACCTCATAAAAAATCTAGAATGCTAAAACCTATGCATACAAAAGTGCTTGCTATAGAAGGGGATAGAAAGGGCCTAGTGCTGATGACTTCTCTGTCCTCAGTGCCTTGTGACTAAGATGGAGAGGACAGATAAAAGGATCTGCCAAGGGTGTATTTCTAGTAGGAGTAATTTTAATTACTCATTGCAGACCTTTCTTAGATATTACAGATATGCCTGATTTTATCTTAATTCAGCTTACATTATCTTTTTAAGAACAATCCTCTAAATGAAAAGAGCTATTACGTTTCATCTCACCAATTTCCAAGTCATTAGCATATCCTAAAGATGGAAATATGATCAACATACAGTTGTGGTTAACCCAACAACTACACTTTATTCCCAGATAAAATCAGTGAGATTTTCTGAGCCTCTTGCATTCTCTCTTATTTACTCACTCTTTCCTACTTTCTAGATTACCAACAGCTAGGAGGAGGGAATATAATCATCTCTGTTATCTTGACTGTTCAATCACATCATAATTTGGGGATAAGAAAGGTATGATGCATATTCAAAATGATAAAAATTTCACAAGTAAAGAAGAAAAAGCCCAAACGTATTTAGATTTATAGAGCTGGGGGTACCAGGCAGCACCAGGTTATCAAGTGAGATCAACTACAGAAAAGAGAACGTATCATATCCCTAAATGGATTTCCATTTTTAGTCCTTGTCAGCAAACCACACTCCAAGGCTAATGACTGGGTAAAAGGAGACAGATAATCATGTCAATGTCCGGTGTTTAAAGAGCATGTGCTTTACCTCTCACATTCTGTATGAAGTCAGTGTCAAGAGAACCATGTGCCACACATTTCATCAGAGCCCAACCACTGCTTGGCCTTCTCTGCTCTTCATTATCGCTGCAAAGCAAAGGACTGGGGAAGGAGAAGTAGATGGGGGCAGTAAAGCAATGAGTAATATATAAGCTGCCACACTACATGGGATCAAAAATGAAAATCTATAGAGTCTGACAGCTTATACAGTATTATTGACATTCTTTACATGGAAGAAGACATTAAGAAATTATCACCATAGAACAATCTAAACGTTCTCGTCTATGACAAATACTTGTCCAGCAAAACTGAAACTACCGGAAGATAATACAGGAAAATACTTCAGAACACCGCTATGGGCAATGATTTTTTTAATAAGACTCCCAAAACACAGAAAAAATAAAAGCAAAAATAGACAAGTAGGATTATATCAAACTAAAAGCTTATGCACAGCAAAGGGAAAAGAGAAGACAGCTTAAGAGAATGAGAAAAAATACATGCAAACCATTCATCTGACACGAGATTAATATTAAGAATATATAAGGAACTTGATTCTATGGAAACAAAAGCAATCTGACTAAAACTTGGGGAAATTATCTGAATAGATATTTCTCAAAAGAAGACATACTAATGGCTAACAGACACAGTATATGAAAAATGCTCAACAACACTATTGAGAAATACTATTCAAAACTACAGTGAGATACTATCTCATTCCAGTTAGAATGACAATTATCAAAAAGACAAAAAATTATTGCATGTACATGGAAAAAAGGAATTATCATATACTGGTGGCAAAAATGTAAATTAGTATAGCCATTACAGAAAACAGAACTCAAAAAATTAGAAATAGAATTACCATATGACCCAGCAGTCCCACTAGTGTGTAATATATACATATATACCTAACGCAAGTGAAATCAGTATATCAAAGAGTTATCTGCACTCTCATGTATATCATAACATTGTCTGCAATAACCACAATATGAAATCAACTCAGGTGTATTCACTGGCAGAAAAGTGGATAAAGAAAATGAGGTATAAATATAGAATGGGACATTATTCAGCCATATAAAGAATTAAATCTTATTATCTGTGGCAACACAGATGAGCCTGAAGGACATTATTTAAGTGAAATCAGTTAGGTACAGAAAGACAAATACTAAATGTTCTCACTTGTATGTGGAAGCTAAATAGGCTGATCTCTTAGAAGCAGAGACATAGAATAGCAGTTACCAGAGGCTAAGAAAGATAGGCAAGAAGAGGGGAAAGAACCTGGCGATCTAGTTAAAAAATGTAGTCACACAGGAAGAAGTTCTAGAGCTCTACAGCACAACAGAATGACTGCAATTAATAATTTATTGTATATTACAAAATAGAAAAAATTTTGAATGTTTCTTTGTACTTGAGTTCCTCTCATTTCGATAGGCTCCAAGATCTCCCACATCAGGGGTCAGAAGGATGCACTTTCAGTGGAAATCCCAGAAGTTTGGAGAAGCCAGGAATATGGATCATCTGAGGAGAGCTGGAAGCTGGGAGGAGAACTGATCCAAGAGGGAAGATGTGAGAGCTACAACCACCAGAAGTGCCACAGGGAGTGGAGCCACCCAAGCCCTTTGGAGTTCACATTTTGTCACAGATTAACGGGGATACTAGAAGAGGAACTGTGGGATTTAGTGTTTGCCCTGCTGAATTTTGGATTTGCGTTGGTCCTGTTCCTTTGTATCCCCCTCTTTGTACCTTTTGGAATAAAATGTCTATCTTTGTGTCACTGAATGCTGGAAGTGTTTAATTTTCATTTGTACAGGGGTTTGCGTCTAAGAGTTTGCTTTAAATCTCAGAGAAGACTTTGGACTGGAACTTTTCAGCAATGCTGAAACTGTTAGGACTTTGGCAACTCTCAGAGATGGACTAAATGCCTTTTGAATAAAGGGATGTGCATGAGTCTTTGAGGGGCCAGGGGTGATATAACAGTTTGTGTCTCATTGTCCCCCCCAAATCTCACGCGGTCACAGGTTTTTTCAGAGGTGGCCAAATCTAGAGTGTGTGATGCTGGGATTAAGGGTATGTGATTACTAAACCAGTACACTGATTGGTTTGGCACTTCCCTAAATCCCCATAGTCTCAGAAAGACACTGTTGAGGTCCCTTGTTGCTTCTACTACCTGTGGCTGCCATGAGCTGTTTCTCCTCTGTGAAGAATATGCCGAGTCACCCTGCTTTGGAGCCAGCTGATTATGGACCAAAACCTCTGTTAAAGGGGGAAAGTAACTAACACATGTGGGTTTCCATTCGTCTGTGTGGCAGGGCAGAGGTGGAGTCAGCACTACATTGCTCCTGCCCCTACAATCAGACCCTGTCAACTACGCAGCCCATGCCTGGTCACTGCATAATCAAGTCACGACAAATCACAAGAATGTTACAGCTTTATGATTCTGTGGGGCTGTGTTACAAGCTGTTCAGAGCCACATGTGACCTGTGGGCCACCTGACATAAGAATTGAGATAACAGGCTCTCCAGTTGTTCCACCTCACTTCAAATTCTGACTCCATCTTTCCTACCTTTGTGATTTCAGGCATAATCTTCTTAGTTGTCAACGCAATAGACATAGCTGTATGTGTATATCTATGATACGTATATGTATATCTGTGATATGTTTCTGGTATATATATATATATATATATGTGTGTGTATTTAAGATAATATACATGCAAAGATATATAGCATCACATCCAATATATGGATGAGCTCAAAGCATTTTAGTTTCAATACTGTTTCTTCAGTCTTCAAAGAAATTTGAGATGCTGGAAAGCAACTTAGGGCCCTGACCCCAGTGATCAAAGACATATGACTGTTTTCTCTGCTATTAAAAGAACTTTAGTGGAAAATTTAGGAAACTGAGAATAGATTTGTCCTCTAGGTTTGGAAAGCACTATTCTTATTCTATAAACTTCTAAGCAATGCTCTAAAAGATTTCATCATCATGATCTTCAAATAATTTACTGAAGCTTTATTAGGGCCTCCTCTATGAGAAGCCCTAGGCCTGGCACTAGGGATTGGAGAGGTACGGGCACAATCTTGGCCGTCAAAAGTTTAAAATG